AGTAGTGGAAATAGCCAGGTGGAAGTTATCTGAAGTTGCAACAGACATAAAGAATGTGAGCAGTTTTTGTCAGAGCTGGTCCCCAGCTATTAACAGATTGTTCTCTTTCTTTCTATAGTCACTGTAATTTTGTGTGTGTGTGTTTTTTTTTTTTTTACATTTTAAAGTTTTCTAGGAACAGGCAAAAACTGATCTGAATTAAATTTCCTTCTAGTGTGAAGTATACATCTGAGAATGTAATGAACACGTCTCGCATCCTGTGGTTAGGGCCACCCAGGCTGGGGCTCCAGGATTCCAACTTCCCACCAGAGCCCAATGACTGTGGGTGGGCAGGGATTGGTGGAAAGCTCAAGGTTGGGAAGCATCAGAGATTGAAACAGAGCCAGACTCTATTACAGATAGTGAGGTCACATTGTGTCCATGTTTCTAAACTAGGGTCTCAGTGGCCTGACAGCCTTGCACCAAGCCCCCGACCTCTGTACGTAAGACACTGTCCCAGTGTGGCCTGGCCTGCCTGCCCTCATGTTCCTTCATTTGGAAACTGAATCAGGAATTCTCTGTGCACGCCTGTGCCCCTGTGTTCACAAAGAGCTGGGCGAACACAGTAGAGTCAGCTCCATAGTCAAACGTGCCAAAAAGAGGCTGGTTTGGCTGAATGAACCCCGCCTCATCCCTTCTGGTGTCAGTCAGGCAGGGGTGGGGTTATGTATGGATTTCTATTCAATCAGAAGCTCCGCTGAAACGGGTGGGCCGACGCACTGCATAGGTAAGGACATTCCATCCATGCTCCTGGCTAGCTGGTGACCACTTAGCCACAATTCATGGCCTGTGGAGGCTCTTCCCCAGCCTGTGCGGTGCTGTGGTCTGTGCTGGTCACGGGAATCGTGTCAGGACTCAGGAAACCTAGAAATGGTGAGTGTGCGGGACCAGGGGCTGGTGTGCAATCAGGTACGAGGGGCTGGCCTCCTGGCGGTCAAGTCCAGGATCTGCAGCTGGAGTCCACTGGGGGCTTCTGGGGACCTCGGTCCCCTGCAGAATTCAGCGGTCCCCTGCAGAATTCAGCGTGGGGACTGGGCAGGCAGCCGGACCGAATGTACTATTTACTTCTCTTTCCGGGAAGCTCTGAGCCCCCAGCCTCACATCTCCCCAGACGTTGCCGTGGCACAGGGAGGGCCATCGGAGGACAATCGTGACTCAGTCTCTGGGTTTGTGCATGAGAGGTTTGTGGGGACCCTGATTTCCGTTTTTCCTCAGGGAATGCCCATTTTCTCCCGAGTTCTCATTTTTGTGTGAAACGGTCTCAAATCCAAAACCTTGTCCCCTGGACCTGTCTCCACCTAGGGCTGGCAATAAGTCTCCAAACTTCCAGTTTCTTCCAGGCATTTCCAAGACCAACTATCCCCATTTGAGTCACAGCCTCATTATCAACTACTTGTCCTCTGGGGTACATTTCAAAAAGACTATTTTAATTGTTTATCTCTCTTTTTACAGAGTAATGGAATGCTCTTTTTTTTTAATTAAAAAATTAAGTTAGAGATAGAAGAAGGGAGAGAGAGAGAGGGAGAGGGAGAGAGATGGATTTTGTTGCTCCACCCATTCTTGCACCCATCGTTTGCACATGCTGGAAGCAACTGACGGAATTCTCTTTTTAAAAGATTTATATTTGTGGATATTTTGCATGAGAAAAACTAGAAATCTAGGGGATAGGGAGGATGGGGGGAGGGGGTGGGGAATACAGCTGGATAAGGGGGTGCAGGCAATGATGATGCCCTTTTTGAGGTTGTGGTGTGGTTCCCTAGGCCTAGACATTTTAAGATCTTATGTTTGAGTTTTGCATCCACGTGTAGGTGCACTCAGAGTAATTTGTGCACATGGAGAAAGGCTATAAAGATCAGGGTTTCTGTCTTGGAGACAAAGGGTTTATGACTGGGGAGTTCATTTGGGCCAGAACCTTAAACTGAATCAGGCTGAGAGTTGCTTCTCTGTGAGAATGGAAGCCTGGGGAGGGAGCGCTTCCATGCTTACAGGAGAGGGGAGGGTTGTAGAGCTCCCAGAGTTCATTCTTGGGGCTGCTCAGGTGTCCCTTTCCACCCACCTCCCCAGGGACTGACCCACTCTAGAGGTTCTGTCTCAATCTAGGAGTGTCTGGACCCTAGGCTTGCGATTATGTTCAAATTTCTGAATGTGGATTTCCTGAACTGTAGGAAAGCAGGCTGCTTATCTGTCTTGATTGCAATATTTGTGTTTCCTTCCTTTGGATTTCTTTCAACAGTGAATATTGCAGCCCTTTAATTCTAGAGTTCAGTAGCATTTGGGCTTTTAATATGTAATTTGAATGAGAAATACCCTGTGCATAAGGAAAGATAATTATGGAACCAAGTAGAATTTCGATTCCCTTTAGCAAGAAAAGTTAAGATGTGAGATGGATGTTTTAAAATTCTCAGGGTTTCTTTTTTTCTGCTTTTTGGTCAGTGTTTGTATGTCCATGTCTCTAGAGAATTTTTACCTTGGAAAGGCAATATCATTCCTAAGGCAGATGATTACCTATTTCAATGGCTATTGGGAAAAACACAATTGCATTTTTATATTCATTGATATGAAGAAAACACCTCAAAATTTATGGAAGTCTAAATTTTCTAATTCATATCAGGGCTTAATTCCAAACCCCTTAGGCATTATAATACATTCTGATTCCTGAAAATATCCCCTGTGTGCAATATAGTGAGGGACAGACTAGACTGATCATAACGCATCTTGTCCTTTTTATCAGAAAGGGATTTGATGCTGAACACAAAATATAGTGTATAGATGAAGTGTTATAAAATTGCACACTTGGAACCTGTATAAGTTTGTTAACCAGTGTCACCAATAAATTCAATAAAAAAGAAAAAAAGAAAGGAAAGGGATTTGAAAATATTTGATGGCTTTCAGTTTTATATCCATTAATGTTTAAAGCATTAAATCTTGGAATGGTATTCTGTATTTAAAATTAATTCTAAAAAGCAAAAATAATGATTAAGCATAGTGAAATATGATATATATAAATTTCTTTTTTTTGTTAAGTGCATTGGAAGGTTAATTAAATTCCTCATATAAGAAACTAACATAAGAAGAGCCCTTGCCATATATCCTGCTACACTCCTGTGTTCTTACTCTAGCTATTCTCAGTCAGTTTTAATCACTTCTAGATTATTCTGTTAATTTTTTTAATTAAAAAAATTTAAAATTACAGTTCACATTCAATATTATTTTGTATTAGTTTCAGGTGTACAGCATAATAGTTAATCATATACTATACAAAGTATTCCCCCTAATATTCCTAGTACCCACCTGCTACCATACATTGTTGTTATAATATTATTGACTATTTACTATGCTGTACTTTATATCCCATGACTATTTTATAACTACAAACTGTACTTCTTAATCCTTTACATTTTTCACACAGTTCCTCTTCTGCCTCCCCTCTGACAATAATCAGTCTGTTCTCTGTATAAGTATTTTTTTGTTAGCTTGTTTATATTATTCTTTAGATTCCACATAGAAGTGAAATCATATGCTATTTATCTTTCTCTGTCTGACTTGTTTCACTTAACATAATACCATTCTAGGTCCGTCCATGCTGTCGCAAATGATAAGATTTATTCTTTTTTATGGCCATTTATTCATATTTTAAATCTTTTTTTCCTTCTTAATGAATACCCTTTAATCTATAATAATAAAAGCATAATTTGTAAATCTACCGAACGTCCGAATGACCATCCGGACAACCTTCCGAACGAAGCCGGGGCTGTGAGGGCTGAGGCGGCAGCTGGGGCGACTGTCAGGGCTGAGGAAGTCTGGGCTGCGAGGGCCTACCCTTGCATGAATTTTGTGCATCAGGCCTCTAGTATTTCTTATAATACTGGTTTTGGTGGTGATGAACTCCTTTAGCTTTTTCTTGTCTGGGAGGCTCTTTATCTGTACTGTGATTCTAAATGATAGCTTTACTGGGTAGAGTAATTGGTCCTTGTTTTCATCACTTTGAATATTTTGTGCCAATCCCATCTGTTGAGAAATCAACTGACAGTCTTATGGGTGCTCCCTTGTAGGCAACTAACTGCTTTTCTCTTGCTGCTTTTTTTTAAAGTATACTTTTATTGATTTCAGAGAGGAAGGGAGTGGGGAGGGAGGGAGGGGGGAGAGACAGAGGGAGGGAGAAAGAGAGAGAGAGAGAGAGAGAGAGAAACATCAATGATGAGAGAGGCCATCTCCTGCACGCCCGCTACTGGGGATCAAGCCTGCAACCCAGGCATATGCCCTTGACTGGGATTGAACCTGGGACCCTTCAGTCCACAGGCCGACGCTCTACCCACTCAGCCAAACCAGCTAGGGCTGTCATGCATTTTAATTCTACATAATTGTCTCAATTGATGAAAACGCAATAACTGCCACGCACAGGAAAGCAAAGTTAAAGTGAGCTATGTCCGTTCTTCTAATGGAGGACTTTAAGGCAGTATGTATGACCCGCTAGGCTTTGTTAAAAATTGAAATTCCACAAGCCTCTTGGACTCTTTGGTTTTGGTAATGGGAGTAGAAGAAAAAGTTTCCAGTTCTTCTACTGAAACCTCATGCAGATATGACCTTGTTTTATGGAGTCCTATAAATAGTGAATAAAAGAAGATGAATTTCTTCACAAGGTATTGATGGTCTGAAAATGATAATATTTGTTTAATTTGTATAGCATTTTTGTCATTTCCCCAAAGTATTTGAACTCCTGCCATTTAAAAAATATGTAATGTGGTTACAGTAAAAAATACGTTGATAAGGTGTTTGGAAATGGGAGAATCATACATAACCTTCCTATAGTGTGGGGATAGAGAGTAAATTTTTGATGATAGAGTCATAGATGAGGTGTTTGGAAATGGGAGAATCATACATAACCTTCCTATAAATGGAATCTGAGTGTTCAGTGCTGTCAGTCTCACTCATCCTAATGGACACATATTGGGGTGTTTTAGGACTCGGTGGCCTTTGAAGATGTGGCTGTGAACTTCACCCAGGAGGAGTGGGCCTTACTGAATCCTTCACAGAAAAAGCTCCACAGAGATGTGATGAGGGAAACCTTCAGGAACTTGGCCTTCTTAGGTAAGGATGGTGACTTTCCTTCACTTTTTCAATTAGAGAACAAGTGTTTCTTACCCATCAACATTGTCCTAAGATGGTAATGTGAGAAAGGAGGACATTGGTAAATAAACTGAGCATGGTCACAGCTCATCATAGAAATAGAATCTACTAATTTTTGTATAATTTCTAATACGTTGAAACCAATTTTCTGGGTCTGCTTCTTTAGGTAAAAAATGGGAAGATCATGACATTGAAGAAAACCAGGGAAGAAAACAAAAGTGAGTCACAAAACAGAAAGCACTGCCTCACATGAGAAACCTGTTATGCTACAAAATTTTCCAAAGAAGCAACCAAAGCAACCCTTGCTTCAAATTTAGTCTTAAAAAATTAACAAATTACTTTCTTATATATGACATAAATACTCAGTGTTTGCAAACTAGTTTACATGGAAACAGCATTAATAAATCCTATACATGAATATCACTTTTTTGCTATATTTTAAGTTTAACTATAGTTGGTATACATACTATATTTGTTATATTAGTTTCGGGTGACAATATAGTAATTTAACATTTTTATACCTTATAACACAATCTCCCCACTAATTCTAGTAATTATCTTCCACTATGAAATTTATCACCCTATTCCTGACTTTACTTTTTTCACTTATTCCCCCTACTCCCTCCCCTCTGATAATCATTCCTTTGATCTCTGTTTCTATGATTCTGTTTATGTTTTTCTTTACCTGTTTTGTTTTTATAGATTCCACATATAAGTGATACCATACAGTATTTGTCTTTCTCTGTCTGACTTGTTTCACTCAGCATAATAGCCTTTAGGTTTATCTATGGTGTTGCAAATGGCAAGATTCATTTTTTTTAAATAGCTAAGTACTATTCTATTCTATATATATATATATATTATATTATATTTCATATATAATATATATATATCCTTATACACTATACACACACACACACATATAAAACCTATCTTGGCTATATATACATATATATATACTAGAGGCCTGGTGCACAAAAATTTGTGCACTCAGTGGGGGGGTCCCTCAGCCCAGCCTGCACCCATTTGCAGTCCAGGACCCCTTGGGGGATGTCCACCTGTTGACTTAGGCCCACTCCCCGGGGGATCAGGCCTAAGCTTGCAGTCAAACTTCCTTCTGGCAGCCAGGGAGCCCTTGGGGGATGTCCAACTAAAGGCTTAGTCCCCCCATAAGACACTGGGGGGTAAGGGAGGGCAGGGGCTTGTCAAGGGTGGGGGGGAAAAAAGGACACTTATGTAATACCCTTTGTAATACTTTTAGCGAAAAAAAAAAAAAAAAAAAAGGCTTAGTCCCCCAAGGGATCGGGCCTAAACCGTTAGTTGGACATTCTTAGTGCTGCCACGGAGGTGGGAGAGGCTCCTGCCACCACCTCTGTGCTGGCCAGCCATGAGCCAGCTTCTGGCTGAGTGGCACTCTCCATATGGAAGTGCACTGACCACCAGGGGGCAGCTCCTGCATTGAGCGTCTGCCCCCTGGTGGCCAGTGTGCATCATAGCAACCGGCCATTCTGCCGTTCAGTCAATTTGCATATTAGCCTTTTATTATTATTATATAGGATGTCCCTATTTCCCCCCTTTTGCCCCCTCTACCCAGCTCTTGCCCCCCATTTCTCTCTGGCCATCACCATACTGTTGTCTGTGTCCGTGGGTTGTGCATATATATTTCTTGGCTAAGCCCTTCTCTAACTTCACTTCTTTAAATTTTTATTTTCAGATAAGTGCTAATGCCTGGCACCAGTAAAAGATTTCTTTTTTGCCCATTTAGATATTTTATTGATTTTTTTACAGAGAGGAAGGGAGAGGGATAGCAAGTTAGAAACATTGATGAGAGAGAAACATCGATTCAGCTGCCTCTTGCACGCCCCCTACTGGGGATGTGCCCGCAACCCAGATACATGCCCTTGACCGGAATCGAACCTGGGACCCTTGAGTCCGCAGGCCGACGCTCTATCCGCTGAGCCAGACCAGCTAGGGCTTTATATTTTCTATTATATCGTTTAGAATTAAGATATTTTTTAATTGAACCCTTGTAAATTTTAGCACAATTTAATAAATTATGCTAGAAGTAATTAGGAGATTTTTCATGTAATGCAGATACATTTCAATTAATATTTTATTAATTTTTAATTTTTTAATTTGAAATAATCTCATACATGTAAAAAAAACTATAAAATACTACAGCATATTATTCACCCAATTTCTTAGGTGTTAATAATTTAAACATAACCATTATACAATTAACAAAATTTGGAATATATTTTTCTTATAATCTCTTTAATGTTACTTAATCCATTTACTTTGTTTTTGTTAATCTTCACCCAAGGATATTTTTCCATTGAATTTTAGAGAGAGTGAAGGGAAAGGGAGAGACACATTGATTGGTTGCCTCCTGCACATGCTCTGATAGGGACTGGGGATCAAGCCAGCAACTGAGGTAGATGCCCTTGACTGGACTCTAATCTGGGACCCTTCAGTCCAAGGGCTAATGCTCTATCCACTGAGCAAAACAGGCTGCAGCTTAATTCATTTACTTTTAATCTATATGTGTCTTTATATTTAAAGTGGGTTTTGTTTTTGATTCACCTTCATAATCTGTCTTTTAATTGGTGCACTTATGCCACTGACTTTCAGAGTGCTTACTGATAGAGTTACTGCCATATTTGGCGGCTTCTGGGGCTTCTGGGGCCCGCCAGCGGCCCGGGACTGGATCCGATGATAGGCAGCAGGCAGGCGGCTTCTGGGGCTTCTGGGGCCGGCCTGCCTGCAGCCCGGGACCAGATCCAATGACGGGCGGCAGGCAGGTGGCTTCTGGGGTTGCCCACAGGGGCCTGGATGGCGGCTCACGCTGGTGGCTGGCGCTGTCCCGCCCTGCCTGCAGTATGCAAATTAGCCGCCATCTTTGTTGGCAGTTAATTTGCATATCTTGCTGATTATCCAATGGGAGGCGTAGCGAAGGTACGGCCAATTACCATGTTTGTCTATTATTAGATAGGATACACTGAGTGGCCAGATTATTATGACCACCCCATCAGTACTTCGTTGGGCCACCTTTTGCCTTCAATACTGCGGTGATTCTTGGCATTGATTCCACAAGATGTTGAAAGGTGATGCGAGGAATCTGACATCATGCCTGATAAATAGCACTGTCCAGTTCTGTGAGATTTGATGGTTGTGGAACCAACTGCCCGATGGCTCTTTTAACTTCGTCCCACAAATGCTCAATTGGATTGCGATCTGGTGATTGTGGGGGCCACCTAAGCAAGCTAAAGTCTCCCTCATGTTCTTGAAACCACTCCTGCACAATACGAGCACTGTGGCATGGCACATTGTCTTGTTGGAAGAAGCCATCTCCTTTCCGGTCCCCCCCTCAACTGGAAGGGGAGGACCTGTTTCAGCAAGAATCCTTAGGGTTTTTTTGTGCTATTCAAGCCTTTTTTAAAGATCTGGCCCCTCTCCCAACTCCAAGGGGAAATTTTTTGCCTAAATTTCCCCTAAAATTTTTAGGGGGGTCAATAAATATTCGGCCCCCCCTTTTGTGTGTTTGGGGGGGTGCGCACGCACACACACACACACACACACACATATAAAATCTATCTTGGCTATTATAAATAATGCTGCAATAAATTATAGGGGTGTATATATACCTTTTCAAAGTAGTGGTTTTGTTTCATTTGGATAAATACCTAGAAGTGGAATTTCTCCATACTGTTTTCCATAGTGGCTGCATGCACCAGTTTGCAAACCCACCAACAGTGCACAAGAGTTCTCTTTTCTCTACATCCTTGCCAACCCATGTTATTTGTTCATTTTTTTATAATAGCCATTCTGACTAGTGCGAGATGGTATCTCATTGTGGTTTTGATATGCATTTCCTTGTTGATTAGTGATGTTGAGCATCTTTTCATATGTCTATTGGCTATTTCTATGTCTTTTTTTGTAGAGATGTCCTCTGCCCCCCTGACCCCCCCCCCTTTTATTTTTTTGGTCCCTGAAGGAGTGCACTGTTCCTGAAGATACTGCAATAGCATGGACAGAGCAAGCTCCTAGTCCATCTCCCTGTTCTAAAAATCCATTTGATATGTACTCAAATAGAGTCTGTATCAAATGTTAAACTGACAAGAGCAGATCTCTATACTTGATATTAGCCAAAAGGCTGAGAAGCAATCTCTGCCCAATTTTTTAATCAGATAATTGATTTTTTTGTTAGTGAGTTATATGAGTCCCTTATGTTTTGGATATCAATCTAATTGGGTATGTTATTTTTGAATATTCAGTAGGTTGTTTTTTGTTTATTTTGTTGACGGTTTTCTTCACTGTGCAGAAGCTTTTTAGTTTGAGGAAGTCCCATTTGTTTACTTTTCGTTTGTTTCACTTATTTGAGGGGATATAGCCATAAAGATGTTACTCAGACTGATGTCAAATAATTTACTACCTATGTTTTCTTCTAGAAGTTTTATTATTTCAGGCCTTAAATTTAAGTCTTTAATTGATTTTTATTTTTGTATCTGGTCTAAGAGAGGGGTCTAGTTTCTTTCTTTTTTTTTGCATGTATCCAGTTTTCCAACACCATTTGTTAAAGAGACTGTTGTTAATCTATTCTGTAGTCTTGCCTCCTTTGTCATAGATTAGGTGACCATAGAATCTAGAGATTATTTCTGGGCTCTATTCTATTACATTGATCTATGTGCCTGTTTTTACACCAGTACCATGCCAATTTGATTTCTATATCCTTGTAATGTAGTTTCAAATCAGGGAGTGTGAGAATTCCAGCTTTGTTCTTCTTTCTCAAGATTGCTTTCTCAGTTTGCTTCTTTCTTGATATTCCTGGTCTTTTTTGGTTCCATATATATTTTTGGATTGTTTGATCTAGTTCTGAGAAAAATGTCATTGGTATTTTGATAGGGATTGCATTAAATCTGTAGATTGCTTTGGGTAATATGGTCATTTTAATGGTAATCCTTCAGATCCATGAGCGGGCATCCTTGTCTTATTCCTGATCTTAGAAGAAAAGACTTTAGTTTTTCACCATTGAGTATGATGTTAGCTGTGGACTTGTGATGTTTAGCCTTTACCAAGTTGAGGTAAGTTCTTTCTATACCCACTTCATTTAGAATTTTTATCATAAGTAGATACTGATTTTGTCAATTGCTTTTTTTTTCATCTATTGAGATAATGATATGATTTTTTCCCCTTGGTTTTATTGATGTGATGAACCACA